GCTGAGAAAAGAAGGAAGGTAAGGGGCACTAGTATCTAGTAGATGCCTCCTGTGTGCTCAGCACATCGCCTCATTTAATCCTCCTCATTCAAAACGGGCTTTATTGGCTCTGCTTCACAGTGAGGAAACTGGGACTCTGAAATGATGTCCAAGGCTCCCTAGCTAGGAAAAAGTAGGGGACCCAGGATTAAAAGTGTATTTCTATGACTCCCAAATATTTCTACTAGCCTATGATAGCGAAAATATGATTCAACTGTAGAAAAGACATAGGATAGGACAGGAATAATTTAGCCTGAAGAAGTGAGTATAATGGGAGAAATTCATGCTTCGTCTGTACAAAGCATCTTTGCACAGACGATGACAAGATCTCCAAGGGCAGATTGAAGAACATTAAAATAGGAGGTGAAGAATTTTAATTAGATTTATGAAAGAAAGTCTTGCCTGTGAGGGGTGTAAACACTGTAGCAGATCATTGAGAGGAGGCACCACTTTGTTGGAAGCTCTTAGATCAGAAGAGGTTCTCTCCTATTAGATTATGCTAATAAATGTCAAGGTGCAATCATGAGTCCCCGTGCGTGGGTGGCATTTGTTCCTCATCCCTGCAGCTGCCTCGGTTGAACTGTCAGTTGGAATAAAAGAAAAGGACTTGAAATCTGGGACAAAAGTAGAGTCTCCCATTGGTGGAAGGCCAACAGATTAGCTCAAATACACGTACGTGACTCTAAATTTGTTGAGATCAAAACAGCCTGAACTTTCCCCACAGCTTGACTCAACCTTAAACAGGCTTCTTCCTGACCTGAGGCCCCTGACCTCTCTTTTGTCAGAATTTTACTCAGTTACTTTAGAAAACATGTAAATTCTTTCTCTTCCCCTTTGAGATGTGAAATTTTAAAAGTCTTTTGCCAGTTTTGCTTCCTAAGACTTCCTCCTCTTAGACCTGAGAGTCAGGCCTTTGAAATGCAATTATCAAAGAAGAGAGCACCCCCATCTCCCATTGCTTCCAGGGGTGGGAGCCTAACCTTAGCAGGTACCTTGCACCAAGCTGTACAACTACCTCTGGTCATGAAGTTCAGAGCAAGTTTACTCTTCCTGTCGGTGAAGATAATTAGCAGACACAGATGGCCTACAATTCCCCTTCCAGCTCTTAAAACCTCTCCAGACCTTTGTTTTAGACTCAGACTGAGTTCTGACTTCTCTCCTCTATTGCAATAGGTCTGGATATAGTCTTCCTTGCCTGTTTAACTTTGTCCAGTAAATTTTTGCTTTGGTGAACATTATAAACATTTTCTCAGTTACATATGAAGAACTTTCGCAAAACTGAAAAAAAAAAGCAGCAATTTAACATGGATGTTGTTAATTTTCAGTTGATGCAGAAAACATAGTTAAAAATGCTTATTTGATTTCTTGGTCAGTCTTCACTGAGAAATTATATTCTTCATTACCTGTACTTTATTTTTTATTTAGATTTTAATCAATTAAATTTATATGTATCTTAAAAATGTTAGCATGTCCTTTTGTCCTGGTTTTATGCTAAAAAGATGCACAGTTTTATTATGCTTAATGTGAGTGGCTTGGTTGAAAAATGATAATTTGTTTGTTTAGTGCTTTCAAGTGTCTCATATAGTAAGCTGCCTGTTTGAGGGGGAAATCATCCTAGCAGTTAAGCTCACTTATAATGTTAAATTATTAATTCGTCATTAATCTTTCATATGCTTTACTAATGCAGACATGAGATTAGTTCTGAACTCAGTCAGAGTCTCTCTGTGAGCTATATTCAATATGCTACATTGTTTATCCGTTGTTCTGACTTAAAGCAAGGAATCATAATATACTTAAGAATTCCTGATGGTGTAAAGAATATTTATCAAATATTATTTAGCTAAATGTCTTAAGTTAAATGACACTCAGATTATTATTTAGTTCCTTTGGGTTCTTTTCACTTGGATCTTTAAGAATTCATATGTATTTGTACCAATATAACATTTTGGAACATCCTTTGTTCCCCAAATAGATGTATGAATAATAGACTCATTATACTATAGCAGTGTAGTCTTCTTAAATGAGATGGCATTTGTGGGCTTCGAGGACAAGTAAGAGGCCTCACAGAGAGCCACAGGGGCTCCAGTCACAGGATGTCCGCGTGCCCCCAGATCACTCATGTCGTGAAGACATAGACCAGAAAACACAAAGAGCATTCCTTTCCCAGCATGTAATTGCTTTAGCCCAACAAACAACCCTGAATCGTGACCTAACAAACCCCCCCCTTGATATTCCTCCAGCATATGAGACTGCCTACCTCCTCCTGTATGTTCCCCCAGGTGTAATAAACCAATAGCCCTAGGTAAGGCCTGACCTCACAGTCATTCAGGCTGGTTTGTTTCAAGTCATGACTTCTCCATGTAGGAGTCATAAATCCCACTGCCCCTTCACGGACTCTAACTTTCTCACCAGCCCAGAACCAATCAAAAACTTGTGCACAAGCTGATCAGGCAGCCCTCTGTGTTCACCATCACTTTCCCACTGAAAACTCTAAGCTTTAACTATCGGGGCTCACACAGGTACCCCTTGTCTGTGTGGCCCGCTGTTGTCTGTGACAGTGTACCTAATAAACTCCTTTTCTATTTTCATTCTTTGTTTTTGGTAAATTCTCTTACTGGCCTGTGCACCGGCCCACCAGATCCCTTGACAGTCTTAGGGTAATTCATCAAACCAAAACTGTCCCCCTAGAATCTTGGGGACCAAGGATAAGATGTAACTAATCCACACCCCCCAGCACCTTTCTGTCATGTATCTATTTCACCATTCATGACAGCTAACTCACTTCTATAAAATAGAAGTTTATTCTAGAACTGACTGTGACTTTAGACTCTGAGCTCCCAGACTGTTTCCTGGTAAGTCACTCTATTCAGATGTTTGCATGTAAGTTTAAACAAAAACGATGATGTGTTGGCCAAATTTGGAATGATTAACTCAGTTCAAACCAATCAGATCTCCCTCTCCGAACTTGTGCTTCCTTCCTCTGGGTACACCCTAAAACTATGAAGGTTTTAACAGTAATAGGCAGGCATCTCAAGGCTGGGGTGATATTTGGTTTCAGCCACATATCATGAAGCCACTCCAGCAGTCCTTGAGGACGTCCACATGGGGGGAACTGAGGCTTCAGTTCCAATTCATGCCAATAGCTACGTGAGTCATCTGGGAAGTGGTTCTTTCAGCCCCAGTTAAAACTTCCGATAACTGCACCCCTCACCAACACCATGACTGCAACCTTTTGCAGAACCACTGAGCCAGAATCGCTCAGCTAAGCTCTGTCCCAAATTCCTTACGCATAATACCAGTGAGATAATGATATTTGTTGTTATTTTAAGAAGCTAAGTTTACATATAAAAGTTTTGGAGCGATTAATGACTAATACAGAGCGTGTGTGTGTGTGTGTGTGAGTGTGTGAGTGTGTGTGTATTCTCTCGCCTGTGGTGGGCTGTCTCCACTACCCTTGGAATTATTTTCCAGTTAACTGCCAGGTTGGAGGTGGGGACTGAGTTCAGGAGATGGGGATGGAAGTTGAGATGGCCCAAGGATTTAGGTTGAACCTGTCACCCAAGCAACACAGAAGGCTACAAATAAGAAGGGTTTATTCTGGGTCTTAGGAATTGCAATTTGGGAGGTACAGATTCAAGCAGCAACTCAAATGTGCCCCGAGGGAAGTAAAAAGGCAAAGGTTTAGGAAGACAACAGACACAGACATTCCAGAGAAGTTCCCTAGGTTGTTCTGCAGAACTGCGACTGATGCCGGCAGGCATTCAGAAGCCCATCAGCAGCAGACTGGTGGCCAAGCTGCATTTTCCCATCTTAAATAAGTTCCAGGCGGCCCGTCGCTGGCCAGGTCGGAAGTTCACGTTGCATCGGGGTACGGACATATGTTAAGTTCTACTTCCTGAATGGCCTCCTGGCTCCGTTTTAGCTCCTTTGACATAAGCAACTCCATTTTGTTGTTCATGGTCCACAAAGCACATTTCATTGTCACAGAAAATGATACCTCTGAAGAGGTGCAAATAATGGTCTCCAATTTAGTAGTTATGACACACTCGAGTCTTTTCTCCGTATTGCAGCTGAAAGGCTCTTTCTGAAGGGTAGATCAGCTCTCTAATTCCACTGCTTAAGACCCTTAAACAGTGAAGGTCACTACTCCGTAAATGGCTGACAAAGCCTTCCTTAACCTGGGCTCTGCTGAACTGTCCAGCCTCTCCTGCCTACCGACAACTCTCACCCCTAGACGTACAGAAAGGTGCTCTCAAATGACCATTGCTGCCCTCCCGTGCCAGGAACTCCCCCTCTGCATGGAATTCCACACTCTGACTCTGCCCTTTTCTTTCACTCCATGAGTCGCATCCAGCCCTTTGATATTTTATTTGATCTCCACAGCATTTGTGATAAATTTGAAAAAAATATTTTAAAAATATAGATTTCTTCTTCTGGAACAATCTGAAGACAAGGCAAGATGGAGTTGTCACCCTGTCCTGGAGACACATGACGCCTCCATCTTCAATAGTATTTTTAAAATACCATTTTTAGCAGGCAGTGTGAGTTAATCTAGATCCTCAGAGAAGCCAAGAAGGAATTAAATACGCAAGGATGTAATTAGGGAGATGCCTGTCTGAAAGGAAATAGGAAAGTGTTTTAAGAACACTTGGCTTCCAGGGGAGAAAGGGGGTGGGAAGGGATCAATTAGGAATTGGAGATCTGCAGATACTAAGTACTATATGTAAAAGAAATAACAAGTTTCTACTGCATAGCACAGGGAACTATATTCAATATCTTGTAGTAACCTATAATGAAAAAGAATATGAAAAGGAATACACGTGCAAATGTATGACTGAAACATGATGCTGTACACCAGAAGCTGACACATCATAAACCGACTGTAATTTTGAAAAGGAGAATACTTGGGATCTGTTTTCATCAGGTGTGGTAAGACACACAGACGTGGAAATAATACTTACAATTCCCTGGAAAGAGGAGGCATGTCACAGCACACAGTGAGCACCAGGGTTGGTCAGGGCACAAAAGGAGTGGAGGAAAATGTTGGCAAAAGCCTTTATTGCAGTGTCTGTGGGAAGGAACAGACAGAGGCAAGGTAGGCAGGTTTAGGGTTGGCTAGTTCGAATAATTTCAGCAGCTCCGGGGCCTAGAGACTGTCTCTAGCTGCCTGGTACCTTGGCCTTGGGATGATTAGGGCAAGTGAATTGTGGCCTATGGGGTAAGAGCCCAAGACAGAGGTGGCTGGATATATGGGCTTTGGGTTGGTTGGTTTGCATTTGAAAGAAAGGCATGCTTGGGGGCAAGTTTTACCATCTCGTGGAATCTGCTAACCCTGGGAGGGTCCTCCCTTCCAGGCTCAGCAAAGCCCCAGATGTCAAAACAGAAGAATACAGGAAATAAAAAACACGTGGTTAATACAGAAAGGAGCTAGCAAAGGTGGGGAACAGGCAGACAGCAATGAGAGTATGATCCTGAGAGAAGACAGAGGAGAAAAGGCTGGTGGAAGCATCCAAGATTGCCAAGCAGTCTAAGGAAGATCCAGGAAGTCTGCTGGGGAGGATTCAAGCCCAAGCTTGCCAGCAAACAGTCTCTGTTTCCCAGAAACAAGACCTGGTACCCGATCCCGTTTGTTCACTGGGTAGGGGTAGCCCATGGGAGCACGGCCTTGATGCAAACACAGCCGCGGGTTTCAGAGCATAGCAGCCTGGTGTGGTTCCTATAGCAGGGCGTCTGGGAGGCACATTCCCATGGTAACCAAATGAAAGAGCTAGAATTCATCATTAAAAACCTTTGCTCATGCTCCTGTACAACACGTCTCTTTATCAAAAGGCAGGCTTACCTGTTCATCAGGCAGGGCTTTTAAAAACCTCTGGAGACGTGCTGTCCCTGGGGGCTTCAGCCAAGTCCCTTTATCAGTGTCAATAGTCCTTATACTCTTAGTTAGAAACCAGCGGGTTCATCCTGAAGTTGAAAGATACAACTTTGAATGGTGAGTTTCACTTATCAGACATTTAGAATTTAGGTGTTCAGCAGACCCCTGATAACTTTAATACAATAGGTTTAGGAAGTATGTTACTGAAGGGAAAAATCATTATAAACTGTTCTTAATTGTTTCCATGTTTTTTAACCCTTGACATTAGTGGCCATTGACCTGGAAGCCATACAATCGTGTTGGACTCAGGCATGGTTACTATTAGGATCAAGCGCTCAGTTGATTAAGGTTAATGACGCCAAGGTCATTGGTTTGACCACCTTGAGGTTAAGTTAACTTTAGCTCGAAGGCCATAGACTTTTGACTTTTCAGTTACGTCAACTAGGCTGCAAAGTTATACACAAGAACACCAGCACTTCTTAGCGTCATCTCAAGATGGATTCACTATTATTTTCCTTCCCATTCTTACGCACAAGGCATAAGCACTGGCCAGATTTATAGATCTCAGTCTATTCCACTGAATGAATTGCACACATGCCCATTTTATCTGCTGATAAAATATCATCAGACTTTGGTGTAGTAAGCTTTTTCTACAATACTCTGAAAAATGTAACTGACTATGAAAGTAGAAGTTGTGAATGCTGTTGCACGGCTATAACAATGGTAACAATGTTTGTCTTATGATCTAGTGAGTGTTAGTTTGCGTGGTTGGCAGCTTCTAAAAAGACTCCCAATGACGTCTGCCTCGTGGTGTTCACGGCCTTATATAATTGTCTCCCCCTGAGTGTGGGCTGGACCTAGTGACTTAATTTTAAGCAAAAAGAATAGTGCAAAAGTGATGGGATGTCACTCCCAACATTAGGTCACAAAAAGACTATAATTTCCATCTTGCTTGCCATCCCTCACTCTCCCTGGCGTGGAGACTGCTTTGGGAGGAGCAGGCTGTCCTGTTGTGGAGAAGACCATGTGGGAAGGAAGTGGTGTCTTCTTCGAAAAGCCAGTGGGGGTGTCGGGCCTGCCAATAGCCACGTGAGTGAGCTTGGAAGTGGACCATCCAAAGCCCCAAAGCTCACCAACAGTCCTGCAACTGAGCTTGAAAGCGGTTCCGTCCAGGTCAAGCCTTGAGCTGACTGTGGCCCTGGCTTATGCCCTGATTGCCACATGGTGAGACCCTGAGCCAGAGAGCCCCACCAGCCAGGCCCAGGCTCCTGACCCACAGAAACTATGAGATACGTGTTGTTTTAGGAGATTTTGGAGGTCATTTGTTACACAGCGATCGACAACGAATATACCTGGGAAGGCGCATAAAATATTTTGGATGTGAAGATTTGCCGTAGGTTCATAAAGACCTCGGCTAAATTTTCCATGAAGCTGCCCTTTCTCAGCATCTCCAAAGGATCTACACAGCCAAACACGTGGGAGCAGATGCTGTTCTTTCTTACGACTTAAAATATTCATCAAGGACTCTCTGAACACTTCATATTAAATTACGCCCGTTGTTATGTAGTCTTACCTCATATCCTAACCTGTTTATGCCAGAATAAACTAGAGAGGGCTGGAAAGGGAAAGCATACTCATGCTCCTCTGGAAACCAATGGAAGTGTTAAGAATAGTTTAGAGTTTCATTCGCCTCTGGAGTGTTCAATAAATATGTTTCACGGGAATATGTTTGTTCTATCCCAAAGCACGGCATGGCCTAATGCTATGCAAATACTAAATATAGCACCTCGTAAGACACCATCAGTGAAACAGCCACTCAAAATTCATTGATTTTAACATGTATCAATTTGCACATTTAATGACCTGTTCCACATCCTCTAGGCGCAGAAAGAAACTAGTTTCCACATTGCCATGAACGCCTAGGAAAACGGTGAACAGTTGCCCTTCAGTGAGGAGGTTTGCAGAGTAAGAAAGAGACCGCGGAGTCAGAGACACATAGATTTAAAGCCTGGATCTTCCATTTGATGAGCTGTATGACACTGGGGACGTCACTCCCTCTCTGAGTCTCAGTTCTGTATTTGTAAAGCAAGGACAATAATTCTGATCTCATGGGGTTGACAAGAAACTTGAGTGAAATATTCTTTCTGAAGCCCTGGCCCAGACACAGTGCAAGTATGTAAGAAATGGAAGATGATGATGATGATGATGATGATGATGATGATATTATGAAAATGCTTTCAAAGTTTTTTGAAAGTGTCATCACAGCAGCTCCATCAGCCCCAAACTTACACCATTCTCTTATTTCTTGGGTTCGCCTTATTGCTTTTTGTCCACAATCTTAGCCTCCTTTCCGTGTTGTTTTCCTTGTCAAATACAAAGTGAAGGGAATAAAACACCTGTCCAGGCTTGACATTCCCATATGGGCCCAGCCTTTCCCGGGGAGAGCTTCTCTCTCCACCAGAAGGCAGAAAGGAAAGATATCTAGCAGGGTGATTTCTACACAGAGGTTCAGAGTAAGATCCAGATACCGCTTTAAATTAGAAGGCGTTCACTAATGTACGTATGTGCGATCAGCTGTCTTTCGCCTCATCTCACTAATTAAGTCGTGTGATGGGCTACACGTTCACATTCGTTTGATCAGTGAGAAAGGGGTAGAACTTTAAAATGGCCAAGTCATACTAATGACATACACAAGATTTGAAGGTAATTTTAAGAGTGAAGCCCACACGAGGAGTGTCACACACAGAGACCATAACTAGGTTATATGTCAACATGAGACATTCCAGCCAGAGTTTTTAAGAAACCTCTTACTGCAAAGATGGATCAGACAACACTGTAAGCCTCCTCTGACCACGTACTGCAATCTAAACTAGACCTTACTGTCATTCTTCGCACTCTGTTTATTTGCACAGCTAGCGGTAGAACTCATAATTTTGTGTTTGGTTATTGACTTATACTTTTAGTACTTGCCCTTCCACTAATACACACTAGGCACTTAGGACAACATCTGACATGGAGTCATGACTGTGTGTGTTCATTTCTACTGTGTCATCATTAGTGACTTCAGTTTAAAAGATCTCATCAGGCCTTTTCTCTTTGTCTTCAGTTCCAGACAGCCGACATTTTTCCTTAGGGCGGGTTTTCACGGAATACCATGCAATCTGCTGGCTGAACTCACTCATTCACAACTTAGAGACAGACTTCATTGTGTCACCTGCAGGGTGAAGGAAGCAGACACAATCCGGAAACAGCTTCAATCCAGTCACACCTGAATAAGCATCAGATTTATTTCTGGGATATACTACTGAATACAATTTCTTTTGTAGAAAAAAACAAAGAAGAATTAATTCTAAATAAAATGCACACAGAGACACATTCATGATCTAATCTTGTTTGAATACTCCTTCAAAAGAAACTTCCTGGTACAGATATAAATGGACTATTTTTTTTCTTAAAAATCTGGCACTTTAATCTCTCCCGGGGTAATGTTGCTGTATTTCGACTCCTTGGCAAAACTGTAAAGCATTTCTATTCGGGAGGAGCGATAGGGTTGCCAGATTTAGCAAATAAAATACAGGACACTCAGTTGCATTTGAACTTCAGATAAAGAACGAGTACTTTTTTTGGTTGTAATTATATCCCATGAGATATTTGAGATATATTTATGTAGAAAGTTTACTCATTATTTATCTAAATTCAAACTTACCTGGGCATCCTGTGTTTTATTTGGCAACCCTGGGGGGGGGATCACAGCAGGTCTGTCCTGGGAACGCCTTCACACTTGTTGGATTCCTTTGTCCTCGCTTCCCTCTGCCCTTCCCGCTCCGAGTCTTCAGAAATATCCCAAGAAAAGCATTCATGTATAATCGTTGTTTTAAATATTTAAATTCAATGAAGCGAGTGGTATAGCCACGCCCAGAATCCAAGACCATCATACCTGCCACTCTGCTCTGGCCCTTACCTCGATTTCCACCCGAGCCCACCCCATTTCTTCCTCCTCGTGGAAGTTCTCTTTTAATGACTTTGCCTCCTCGTGGAAGTTCTCTTTTAATGACTGCGTTTCTTCCTTGGACGACATGGTGTCTCCTTTGTTACAATTAGGTGCTGGAGTACAGGGCTAAAAAACCAATGGGGAAAAAAAAATACCCTATTGAGCCTAGAAATAATACGTCCATTATTTCAACTATTCCTTTGCTATTGTCCTTCTCCTCATTAATTTATCCTCCCATTGTTCCTGACTGATCTGATGCGAGCACTAGATCAATCCAAATGTCCTGTTTTTCTTTCTTCTGGAATCCGAGCACTGTGGCAGGAACCTTTATTACGTGCAGATTGGTGCCAATATAAATTAACAGTTTTCACACAAAAATGCATATTCAGCTTTGTGCAGAAATATTCTATTTTCTTCTCCTAACTAGCTTTCTCTCCCATTGTCCAGATTGGCTATTTCAAAAACATTATTATTTCACTTCAAATCCTTCTAATTAAACTTCCAGGCTTCTCCCTTCACTCTTAGTAAATAACCTCACCTTCAACTTGCAGGGAGGACAGAGCCCATCACACAAGATCTTCTGCAGCTTCCTTAATTCACCTATTCGATTTTTTTTTTATTGAAGTACAGTCAGTTACAATGTGTCAATCTCTGGTGCACAGCACAACGTCCCAGGCATGCATATACATACGTATATTTGTTTTCATATTCTTTTTCGTTATACAAGATACTGAATATAGTTCCCTATGCAATGCAGAAGAAACTTTAAAAAAAAATCTATTTCTGTATACAGTGACTACCATTTGTAACCCCTATTTGATTTATCTGTACTCACCCTTCCCTGATGCTTGTGTTTACAATGGAAGAGGTACTATTTCTCTTGCATAAAGTTTTGTATTATGAACTTGCCTATTTCCTCAAGGGCTGTGTTTTATCAGTGTCTTTTATTTACATTACTTTTTTTCTTTGCTATTTCAATGGTTGAAGAGGATTTAAACACTTGCTAGCCTTTTCTGTCTTTAACAAGGGAGCAGACATAGTAACCCTGCACATCTCTTTAACTACAGCATTACTTCCTTCCTTCTTTCCAAAATCAAGCATTTGGGAAGAGAGAGAGAGAGAGAGAGAGAGAGATCTAGAATTACTATCTGTTAAGTCCTCATTTAACCAGTAATCGCTCTGCATGTTAAAATCTGCTTTTTGTCTTTAAAGCTGTTTTTTTTAAAGTCTCACTGCTGTCTTTGCTGCTAAATCTAATGAAAATCCTGTAGTCTTTACCTTGCTTGATCTTTCTCTTGCATTTTGTTAATCCCCTCATTGTCTCACAAGGGGTCCCACAACTCTCAAGAGATTTGCTCCTTTTCTTGTGAGACTTAGCCGACTGCTGGTGAGCATGGCTCTTCTCTCCCAAGAGGAGTTCATTCCTTTTTGCTTGTAAAACTTCATCCCTCCACAGATTCTTGCCTGCATCATTCTCCAGCCCAAACCCTTTTTCTTTTCCAAGATGGATCCCCTTCTGCCACAAGTCTTTTTTTTATCCACTCTCCTGGGACCATCCCCACACTTTCTCCTGGGGGTTCCTCAAGTCTCACAAGATTTTCCTTTTGCATTTCATAGTATAGACCACTTCTTGAAATATTTTTTCTCTTGCATTTCTGTAATACCACGTCTTCCATTTCATTCTTCTTCCTTCTTCCATTTTGCCCATGATTCCCAAATCTATAGCTCCAAAGCCTCTGATTAGTTTCTTATGGCCACTCTAGCAAATTGCTACAAACTTGGTGGCTTAAAACAACAGAAATGTATTCTCTCACAGTTTTGGAGGCTAGAAGTATAAAATCACAGTGTCAGCAGAGCTGCTACCTCCTGAGGACCAAGGGGAGAATCCATTCCTTGTTTATTCCAGCTTCTGGCAGCTATTGGAATTCTTGGCATGCCGGCTGGTTTTCTTTGTCAACTTGTTTGGGGCATGGTAGCTGGTGATTTAATCAAGCACGAATCTAGGTGTTGCTGTGAGGGTACTTTATAGATGTGGTTAATATCTACAGTTACTCTAAGTAAAGGGGATTATTATGCTGGCTGGCATAAAATTATTTTCAATTAGAAAAAAATATATTGTTAATGTAAGTGAAGCTTGAGAAGAAGGAAGCTGAATTCCTAGGTGATGCTAGTTTTCCTGGAGTTCACTGATCCCTCACTGACCTCTGGTCTCCTGCCTGCCCTGAAGTCCTTCTCTGGCTCAGTTCATTAATGTGCTCTCCATCTGCGGAGGGCTAGTGCAGCAAGATCTGTACACTGAAAATCCCAAAATACTGCTCGGAGAAGCACCAAATAAACGGACAGACGTATCATGCTCATGACTGACATACCTGCTAATAAAATCCCAATAAAAATTCTAGTAGATTTTTTGGGTAGATGGATAAGTTGATTTATTCTGAAATCTACACAAAACAGCAATGGATGTTTTAAAAAATACAATCTTAAAGGAGTAAAATTAAATTGGGAGACTACCAATAATTAAAGATGCAGCTAATAAGACAGTATAGTATAGAGGCAAGACTGGACCAAGAGACTAATGGAACAGGATAGAGAAGACCCAGCTGTAGACTCAGATATATCTGGCCACCTGATATAAAACTAAAGCATCAACACGTTCAATTGGAGAAAAGGGTGTTCTTACTGATAAGTAGTGCTGGACCAACTGAATATTTATATGAGTTAGAAATGAACTTTGATCTTTAATTCATATACCACACACTTAAAAATTAACTTGAGATGGATCATGGACTTAACCATAAAAGATAAAACTTTTTTCATTCATTAAAACCACCATTAAAGGGAAACATTATACCCCAGAATGGAAGAAGATATTTGCAACACGTACATCTGACAAATGTTCAGAATTTGTAAAGAGGCCCTCAAATCAACAAGCAAAAGACCAACAATGCAAATTTTAAAATTACAAATAACTTTAACAGGCATTCTGCAAGAAAGGAGATCTAGATAATCAGTAAGTGTGTGAAAAGGTGATCAGTACCATCACTCATGGTAGACATGCAAATTAAAATGATTAAAATGTGATACTCCTACCTGTGTCAACATAAAATGATGTAACTGCTTTGAGATATTAGTTGTTTTTGCCAAATCTAAACATAAACATCTTCTTTGACCCAACAGTTGAACTCCTGAGTATATACTTAAGAGATGTTAAGTCCATACACACATACACACACAGAGAGAGAATAAAACAAGAATGTTGCAAGCAACCTTATTCATAATAGTTTAAAACTGGAAACTCCCAAAAAGCCCATCAATAGAAGAATGGGTAAGTAAACTGGGATGTGTTCATGTAGTGGAATTTTACCCAACAGTGCCCAACAGAAAAAATGAGTGAACTAAAATACATGAAATACTGTGAATGAATCTCGTGGACATTATGTTGAATGCAAAGGCCAGCTGTAAAAGAGTGTATGTTGTATAATTCCCTTCACTGTGTGAACTTTGAGAACAGGCAAAACACATCAATGATGACAGGAGTCAGAATATTATTTACTCCTGCACACGGAGGATAGACTGAGCTGAGGCAGATACAACTTGATTTGTATCTTGATCTAAATCATGATTGCATGGGGATATATACATATACACACACATATATATGTCCACAACTTTATCAAGCTTTTTATTTAAGAGTATACACCTTTTATTTGTGTTATGTTGTGTTATGACTTAATTAAAAATGTAAATCCAAGCATTAAAACTACTCCAGGTGTCACCTCTTTCTACTAGGTGTCTCGTTCCAAATAGACAGCCTTGCCACGCCCACTCTGCTCTGCCTTCCCCAAGCCCTGCCCCTTCCGTGGGGCCCCGCTGCTGCTGGTTTTCCTGGGAAGCACTGTGTCACCCTCTTAGCTAAACAGTATCACCGATTCCACTGAGTGATCCTGGTGATGCACTGGGCAAATAGATTATTAGGGTGAAATGTTTCTTTTACTTCTGACTTACAGTCATCTCCTAGAATTCAAACAGGGACTCAGCTGGAGACAATGCAGAGCATCACAATGTTACACGAAGAAACACTTCCCCACCCGAATGCAAAGCTCAGGTATTGGGTGTGGGTGCCTGGCATTTTTGTCTTCCAGCATGAGTTTCGCTAGGAAGTTTCTCAGTCCTTTATACAGTTTAATCTCCAAAGGTTCTGTTTGGCAAATTGACCAGATGTACTTGTTTCTACCTGAATCCAGCAACGGCTGCAGGTTAGTCTCAAGCCAGGGCTTTCCATTAACTTCTATGGAATATATGGTTCCTGGGTGACGTGGTGGCACTTCTCGAACTTAACTTTGTGTTAGAATCACCTCAGGGGCTTAGAAGAGAAAAGTTTCCTGACCTGGTTTAGGCAAAAAATTCTTAGACGTGACTCCAAAACACAATTTGCAATTTAAAAAATGATACATGGGACAGAATTAAAAGCGTTTGCTCTGTAAAAGAAAACTCCTGAAAGAATGAAAAGACAAGCTATAAACTGAGAGAAAATGCAAGTCGTGGATCCAGAACATGGAAAGAACTGTCAATGCCCAACACTAAGAAAAGAAACTCATTTCAAAAATTGGCAAAAGTCTGGACAGGCACCAAAGGGGAGGCTATAAAAATGTCAAATCAGCACATTTTTAACACGTTCAACACCATTAGCCGTAAGTGAAATGCAAACCTAAACCACAATGGGGTTCAGCTGCAGACGAAAACGAAAGATACTGCCAACATCAAGTGCTGAAGAAGACGCAGAGCAGCTGGAATTCTCATGGTTTGCCGTTGGCAGTGGAAATCCAAAACACACTTCGACAGTTCTTAATAAGGTTGAACATATACTTACTATATGATTCAGCAACTCCCGCTCTTTGGAGGAATGAAAGCTATGTTCACACACACACACACACACAAAAACCTGTACACAAATGCTTATCTAGCCATCTCTCCCAAACTGGAAACAGCCCAAAGTTTTTCGATGAGTAAATGGATCAATTGTGATCCATCCATGCAGCGGACTGCTACTCAGCCACAGACAGGAACAGGCTATTGATTCACGCCACAATTTGGGTGAATCTCAAATTCGTTACACAGAGGAAAAGAAGCCAATTTCAAAAGGCTGTATACCATGTGACTCCATTTATATGATCTTCTCAAAAAGATAAATCCATAGACAAGGAAAGCAGATCAATGGTTACCAAGGGTTAAGAGAATGGGGAGGTGTGGCTACAGAGTCATGGCATGAGAGAGTTGTTTGAGGTCACAGAAGGAACTCTTTCCACATCCTAATGATGGTGGTAGGTACTACCACAAGTGCTAAAATGCATAGAACTGAACATGAAAAAGTCGGAACTTGACTACATGGTAATATAAAAAGTGAAATTATTAATTAAAAAAAAATGAAGACTTCCCATGCTTACAAGGTACAAGGGGAGTTTGTCAGGATCCAGCTGCCAGAGCTCATTAGACATGCCATTAGACACAGTTTCTCTTTCTGTCTCCACCTCCTGGTTAAAATTCAGCCAGGTCTCGACGTCTCTAAATGTTAAATCAATGTGTCAAAAATTATTCATGTATAAGGGGACATATTGTCTTTGCTTTAATAATCATTTTAAGACAAGTTCTCCCCACAAGATGGAAAAAATGACCACCAGTAATTCCAAGTTTACATTTGCCCCACAAACAAAAAGAAATCTTCACTTTCCCTGAACATAAACAATTTCCATTGACAAAGTTTATGTCCCATGTCCATTCCTGAGCGCATCCTGAATGGCCAGGAGCTGGAACCCTGTCTTTGCCCACGTCTGTTGCTGGACCAGGGATAGGGGCAGCCCCATCCACGCCTAGACAAGAATGAAGTAAGTGTCGTTAACCAAAGGCATGCTGGATAGAGAGAAACATACGTCATGTAAGGTGGATTCAGTCCCGGGAAAGACATATAACTATTCCTTGTTTCAATTTGTCCATGAAAAAGAAGGGGATAATAACAGTATCTTCTTAAAGCAATGACAGCATCTCTCCACCAGTGAGCTGGGCCACAGGCTCGCCTCTGTTTCTCCCAGCCATTTACACAGGCTGTTAACTATGGTTAAAGTGAATGGGCAAACAGTGCCACGGTACCTACATTTCATATTTGTGAAAATGCAGGGCGCTGGGACTGGAAGTGTCCATGGGAAGTCATCTCTCCCATCCTTCTGATTTCAGCAAGGCCCATGCTTGTGCATTTCTAAGGGAAATAACATACATGTTTATGACTTTCATGGGATAATATCCTAACACTCAGTGATATGCTACCATCCTCAGGAATCTCAGAAACATCTTTAATTCAGCTAAGTCTTCCATGCTGTTGCTTTCATGAAATAACATGAAAGCTCAGGCCCCATCAGTATCTTATTTTCTTCATTAATGATTTTTTAAAGGAGCGAAGGACCCGGTCTTCGCTATTTCAAATGTCATTATATACTCTTGAAAAGTCATTAAGTCATAAAATCCTTCAGCAATCATTTGTTCTTCGTATACCAAACTCTTGTTCTGCTAAACTTTATCGTTCAGTCTTTAACCGTTTAAATCTTTTTTTCTCCCCTAAAACTTTCAGAAAATCTGCACAATCTCCTTCAGGATGAAGGGAGACTGAGCTCTATAGATTTTCTCACTGACAACTAAAAAAACCCAGAAATGTCTTCAGAAGAGGAAAAAGGGGCACAGAACCCCGAGACGAGGTCATTCCAGGATCCTGAGGGAGTCCCAGTACTTTCCAGACCATCTGGTCTGTATCTAATTGCTAATGGATTGAACAGATTTTTTTTTTATCCACAAATATAGCCTAAAGGGGAATTAAGTGGGATTTTTGAGAAAGCCTGGCACAAAAGAGCTGTTGTCAAAGAAAGCTAAAGAGGATAGTGATAAGTCAGGACATCAAATTGCACAAAATACATATTTTCATTTTCTAATGGGGGAGAAATGTAGGGCTGCTTATATGAAGCATTTTCAAATCTATTCCATCCCCCCTTTAATTCAGCTGCACTAATTAGAATCTACTTAATTTCTCTAACCCCTTCTAAAAAATGAATCCCAGCCAGTACTCCAATTTTTTTCCTTCCTGATACTGTAGCTTTAATTGTGCATGGAGCTAAAAAGGTTGCCATGGAGATGGGAATCTGTGATGGGGCTGCTCTACTTCTCTGGCCTTGTTCTGAGTCTGGAGTGGAAGGTTCTATTGTTAAAAGAACAGAATTTTAATTTCTACCAATAAAACCTGTGTTTACCTTATAATGCAATTTTGTTCCCGTTGCTATCTTTTATTTCATAAAACCAATAAGGATGCTCAAGATGACAATAACGAGAACGTTTTAGACGATTCGGTTTGCGAGCGCTGGAGAGCCCCAAAAAGGTGTCCCGACAGGCTCTGACGTTCAGCACACGCTCCTGCCATAGTTTGGAAACGTTTGCCACCTAGTGGCGACAGCTGAGAAATGCCGAATGATAGGACAAACACCACGTTTTTTCGTTACTAGGAAGCAGGAAGAAAAGAGAATCATTGTTTCCAAAAATAGATTCTTCAAAGGAATTATTATTCAATAGATTCAGCGGCCACTGTTTATACCTCCTGCCTCTCTGTATGCTGTTGTCTGGAGTACATTTAAGACAGCTGAACTGTTCATTACTCAATGAGATCTTTGACAATTCCTTCCTTTGAGGTCTTCCTCAAACCTTCTATTGCACTCCCACTGCATTTTGTTCTTACCCCGATTACAATACTGATCACATTGTATTTAGGGTGTGTGTGTGTGTGTGTGTGTGTTTATCTTCTGCCAGGTTAAGTAGTTCATTGAAGGAAAAATGCTTTAACAGTTTGTGACTTCTCTGTTCATCTGGCAGCACCAGGGGTAGAGCAGGCTCCCAGTACTGAATTAATTAGTTGCCTTCTACCTTCAGCGTCTTCTTGAAGCACACGCCTCCTTACTCTCTTTATTCCATTGACCTTTTCTAGCTCCTTCTCAGCACGCAGCGGCTCCCAACGCAAGACCTTTGCGTACTGGTTTCCTTTGCCTGGGGTGATATGCCTCCTTCCTCTTTTCACGTGGTTGATAGCTACTCACCACTTCACCTTCAATTCAGAAATCTCCTCTAATATTCTTAGGGCTTTGCACAGTTGTGATTTTACATTTTGGGGCAACTATTTAATTCCTGTCGGCCTCCCCCAATAGTATGGAAAGGCTTTAAAAGCAGTAACCACACCTGCTTTGGTTCACTGTGGTATCTCTAGTGATGAAAAATTCAGGCTTCATTATTAATTATAATTAAGTAGAATATTTGCTCATGAGTACCTTTTTATATTTATTTTATTGAGATATAATTGACATATAGTGCTGTGTGAGCCTAAGGTATACAACATACTGATTTTATGCATTTATGTATTGCAGTATGATTACCACCCTGGAGTTAGCTAACACCTCTATCACGTCACGTAATTATCATTTCTCTTTTGTGATGGGAGCAGTTAAGATCTAGTCTCTTAGCAGCTTTGCAATTTATAACACTATTGTTTACAGTGACCAAGCTGTGCGTTACATCTCCAAGGTTTATCTACTGGTTGCACATTTTTATCCTTGAAAAACCTCTCTCCAACCCCCGCAGCCACCTCCCTGGCCCCGGGAACCACTTTTCGGCTCTGTTTTCAAAGATTCCGCTTTTTGAGATTTCACATTTAAGTGAGATCATACAGTGTTTTTCTTCTCTGTCACTTATTTCACTTAGCGTAATACTCTCAAGGTTCATCCCATGATGACAGGTTTTTAAATGTTCTACAAAAATAATTCTAAAAAAAGAGTTATCGTCAGAGAATGTTTAACCTTGTTGGAAAAAATGCACAATTTGACCAAGTTTATTTGAAAGATACAATCCTCATTTGAATAGTTAGGTTCTTGTAGGATGAAAAAATAAATAAACTATCCATCTATCCATCTAAATCTACCTATTTATCTTCAAAACACTCAGGTATGTTCTTCCGTGGGATTTTCACAGGCTCCCTTCACGTTTCAGTCAGTAAACATGCAATCATGAGCATTTGTGCAGGATACTGTAGCAAAAAGAATGCACACTTTGGAGTTAGATCCAGTTTCAAATGGCTTGGCTATTTCCAGGCTATGAGAGCTTGATGTTGTAGCCTCTACCAACTTCAATTTACTCATCTTTTAAATGCGATTAACAAGAACAGCTTTTCAGGACAATTGCCGAGATTAGCATACCCTTATTTTTAAATCATCCTTGTTAATCCTTGCTGACCAAGTTGAGTACCTACTATATGCTGGGAAAGCAAAAATAAGTAAGATGCTGTCCTGGAACCCCAGTGTATGAACCGGTGATTCTGAAGAGGGCTGACAGATCTGTAAATAGTGATAACAGTGAGAGGTAACAGGGAGAGGAAAAGGTGAGTCAGGAGCACACGTGGCGCTGGCAGTGAGGGGCCGGGATAGGGGAGGACTTGCCCATTTCCTCTCACAGTGGAGGTGTTCTGGTTAGCAGTGCACTAGGGCACACTGGCTGAGCCACTAGCTCTGTGCTTTGGGGCATGCTGTTTAATCTCTGTGCGCGCCTCAGTTTTGTCCTCTGTAGCAAGAACCTAATAAAGCATTTACAAGGTGCCAGGCCTCCTTCTCGATGCTTTATGTGTCTTAATGCCCATGATGCTTACAACAGCCTCATTTTATAGAAGAGGAACAGAGGATAGATAAAAGTAATGAATATCTTGCTCAAAGTCATAGAAATAATAAAAATGGCAGCGCTGAAATTCAAATCCAGGCATCTGGTCCAGAGCTCCACACTTAATTGTAACTGACTTTGTAAAGTGCAGTTAATATAATAACTGCATCTCTAGCACCTTCCACGTTGTCTGGCACAGAGGAAACGTTCAATAAATTTTAGCTTTTGTTACTATTAGATTATTCTACTTAGTGGAAATATTCATTCAATTCAAAGTGAATTTTAAAATCTAGTTGAGTCTAAGGGAAATATTTAAAAATCTTGTTCTTCTAGGTTTTACCAATAGATGTAGGCAGATCACTAATCACCAGCAGTGCTTTTGCCTTTCAAGAGCCCTCTTGTGGAAAAGCACGATAATTCAGGGTAGCGCTTTCATTTATCTGAGCATTGTTACATATCTGGGAAGAAATACTAAATGTAAAGAAAATCTATTAATATTTTTTAAGTTAGCATCACATTTCATTTCACTGAATGTAGCAAATATATTTCATTATTGATGAGATTAAATAAGTAAAACATTGCCAATGCTGTAAAAAAATTAAAAAGCCATTTCATGGAAAAATTGGAATCTGACATCACAGGAGAGCAAACCTTCTATGACTTTACAAGTTGTTTCTACTTACCTTTTAAATTGTCAAAAATTTTCTAAGGTAAATATTGCAGATAAGAATCTGCTTATCTAAAGAAAATAATTGCAACATTAGCATCTCATATGAGGTATGTTTTTGTGTCATTTATTCATTTTAAAACAAGCTTGACTAAGAAATCAACCTTGAACAATGAATAACCCTGAGTATGTTTAAATATGCTACAGTGTTTAAAAGGTTCTTAGGGCAACTAAAGGTATGAACTGATTAAATATTAGTGTCTGGGTGAATCATTTATTGGATGACTCTATTGTAAGAGTTAATGCATGTCTTTATTGGAGAGAATATTCCCCTGGCAAGGAGTATTTATTTGTCTCTGACGTTCTTGGTTTGTTACTATAGAGATGTTTATCACAGTGACTCGATCTTTACCTTCATTTATGAAAACGATGCTGTTATCTGCTCTCAAAGCAGGGAGACACCTGTACTTTCTAACTCACGTTTCTGAATCATAATTAGCAGTCTGACTTTGTGTGATTTCTTGGGTTTTTACCATCTCCACTTTGGACATAGAGATGATGTGAAGAACTTACACAGTCTTCTCCAAATGAAAATGCACATGGTCAAACATGACCTTACTATTTAAGTAATCAACAAGCCTCATCAATTTAATTTATTAGGAAGAGCTCAATGCTAATGTCTATTGAATTTTCTTCCAACAGAGATGTTTACTGAGCATCTATACTGTACTCAGTTCATATGCTGATGTTTTATGGCCATAATCTCTTATAATCTTCACAATAAGGAAACATCATCAGAGTCATTAAGTTGCTCAAGTTCTGAGAACAAGCAGATGCAGAGCTGAGACCAAATCTGTCC